CACACAATACTATTAGTTAACGTAATAACGTACAAGACAAAGTAAGTAACTACAGTAATAGAAAGAAAGTAAAAGAAAGAAGATATATACTCTCTCTCTCTCTATGTATTCTTCCTTCCTCCCCCTCCCTCCTCCTTCCTTCCTCTCTCTCTCTCTCTGTTTCTCTCTCTCTCTCTCTCTCGCTCTTTCTCGTTTGTTAAGCATGGAGTTTGAGTTTGCAATCTATTATGTGGGATTAAGAGTTTGCATTTCATTGTCCACCATGGTGGGATCTCTAAAGGGCAGGAAATGATATTTCAGGCTGCTTTTCAACTTCAATGGCACTTCATTTACCCTATGTTTGCAATTTGTGAGATGCTGTATAAAAAATTTACTTCCTCTGATTTGATGTCTGGTACTTCTGGTGAATAGAAATCCTGTATGAGTTCTTTCATCAATAGTGATCTTTTTCAACTGACAGTCTTCTTCTCAACAACTAAGAAATAGAAAAATTATCTTCAATTGTACTGAACGATAATTCTTTCATTCATTTTATATATGTTTTTTGTAGGCACTGGGATGCAAAAATTTGATGCTGGAGAATTGAGAGTCAAATGTTTGTCTTTTCTTCTGAGTCAGCTTGAGGTAGTTCTTGTGTGTTTCTGGTTTGGTCATGATGATATATGCGTATTGGGAAAGGATACTGTAGTTGTAGTCCATTGGGTCATCACTGTCCATCAAAATGACAAGTGGTGATGGGGAGTGTTTGGACCCACCAGGACAGACCATGATCGACCCTTTCTATCATTGTCCATCTCATCAATGAGTATTGATGATCAAATGATTATGGTTTTCCCATAGTCTATTGGACTATGGCATACTTGCCTACGAATATTTGATATTTTTTACTTTATAAAAGCCATTTTGTGAATGTTACTCTATTAGATGCTATTGTTTTTCTTGTATATCAGGCTAATGTGGACATGGAGCTCTCCAAATTGGAAACATATGGTTGGGGTGGAAAATGTCATCGTGGAATTCGATCAGAGGAAAACTTTGGAATACATCCTTTCTATATTGAGAAAGGTAGGATTATATTATGTTTCTGCTGCACCTTTTTCTTGCTCCTACTCTATCCGGTATAATCTCAAAATGTGTTCGATGCGCACTAAATATTAATTGAATCACATTGCCTGTTTGTGTAATTTCTCATTTTGTTGGTAACCTTTCTGAAAATTTTGAGTAACATTACCTTTTCATATAAATTTTTGTTTCGCAATCTCAATAATTATGCTTTTAAATTACCTGGCAAATTGCCCCTTACTTTTACCTTTTCTTTAATCAGCAAATACAAATATGTCCTTTATTTTTAATAAACTTTGCATCCTGCAATTTTTAGTGGCAGTGGAATTTCATAAATCAAAAAAATAAAATTTTAACGTTTTCTAAAACTTAGACTCTATTGAATATTTTTCTAATAAGTTGTCAAATATTTTGGTTAAATATTTTTTTCTGATAAATAGATATATTCATACGTATTTGCATACACATGTATATGTACACACGTAGATAAATAATTTTTGTGATAGTTAGTCTATATACACGTGCTTGTTATAGTATTTATGTATATAATTTATTGAATCTAATGAATGGTGTGAGTATATTGAGATGAATCATATTGAACTTTTGACTGGGCCATTGTAGTGTCCAAGTTGAGTTTAAAAACCTTCTTAACTTCCTTTTTGTGAATATCAAGGTTTAAAAAAATGGATCGTTGACTCGAATCGGTCACACCCATACCCGTGCTGGATTGGGGAATCGGCAATTGTTCGAAATGTTTTTCAAAAAATCACTATAAATCTAAAAATAGTGTTCTTTTAGTTTCTAAAAGAAATAAGAAGTGATGCATTATGCACTTTAATTATTTTGTAAAATTTGGTGACTACTGAGATGTTTTCCTATCTGGATGTCTATGTAATTATTGATTATAACAGAATATAATATAATAATATTGCATCAAAATAATTCAAAAATATTAGAATACACTTCCATATTATAATTGAAAAAAATAATTTCTCATAGTGAAATTAGTATCACATCAAAATATCAAACATTTATTAATTTGCTTTATTCATCCAAAAGTATCACAAACTGATATATTTGAAATATATTTTTTGGAATATCTTTTTAAATTTTTTTTTTGTTAGGTTCTAGACCGAAACCCAAGTTAGGTCCGGTCAGGTCGAGGTTCAAGTCGACCCTAACCCCAACCTGACCCATTGCCACCCCTACATCTAATGGGCTTTGAAGATAGAATAATGACGTTTTCTAAACCACATTATTATTTACCATAACCTAATCATTGGATAAGTTATACATTCACTCAAAATGTGAATGTTGTAATTTATTGGGCATGAATTGACCCATAGATACATAGAGGAGGTCATGCATGTCATTAAGAGAAATCAAATTGGGGATAATAAAATTGGTGGATTATTTGCTAGTGGTTATTTTCCATACCTATCACACATGTTTTCTCCTCAAATGAAAGTTTAATAGAAATTAGTCCCACATCATAGGTTTGGAGAAGTGAACATGGGTATAAAATGTAGAAAAGCCTTCAACAGTAGCATGAGCTCCCACGTGTGAGAGGCATGGAGCTCCCTAAGAGGGTTATTGATCATGGGTGCCACAATGGTACTACGTGGGCCCCAAGGAATAAATTTTGCAAAAAAGCAATTATAGCATGGGAGTCCTAAAAAGTAGACCTATATGTGGCCTAAAAGTTGAGCCAATGATGAGGTTTGAACATGTGGCCACGTGTACAACCCATTTTAAAAGCAAAATCATTGAGAATCGGTTAAAAGTCCTATGTATGATGTCAGCAAAGGGATCCATGACATCATCAAACTGGTTCCTGTATTAAATCGCCCAGATCCCTTTTTATGGGTGGATTCGGGATGGGCTGGGCAATACTCGATCCGGATCGGGTCACCCAGTTTTTTAAACACTGGTGAATACTATGTGCCTAACTTTGTCAGCCTTTGCCCTTTCCAAGCGATTGAAGATTCAGGCCATGGCTACCTTCTGTATTCTTCCTATTCCATAGCTATTGGGGTACATGTCGAATCATTTTTTATTTGTATTGTAAAATTTTATCCTTTGGTTTTCCTATATTTCTGGCAATAGATGCATTGGAATTTGCTTGAGGTCTCCTTTCCTTTTCAACCTAGATTATTATGTTTGTTTTTTGTGCTTAGCATTTTATCATCCTGCAGAATCTAAATAATGTATTTGAACTCTTTTTTGTCTTCACGTTCTCACTTGGGTCTGGTTGTTAGGTAAAATTGACTGTAAGAATGGGGGGCTTTGAGCTATTGGCTCCTACTACTGGTGCAAATGCTTTGCGAATTCTTCGGGCAATGCAACTTCCAAAGCCTGGTATGCATGGATGCCATATGTTCTGTATCGTTTTTCCTTTCTTTTGAAGGTTAACAGAGATGTTCCTTTTTTTTTAATGATAAGCTTTTTCTCATTCTGGATGTTGTAACTGAAAGTGGAACTCAAGCTGGATTTAGAGCTTATTGACATTCTATTTGTCATTTCAGTCTTACTGGAAGGTAGTCCAGGGGTCGGCAAAACAAGTTTAGTGGTCGCGCTTGCCAATCTTTCTGGTCATTCTGTCGTGAGGATAAACCTTTCTGAACAGGTTACATCCTGTCATTTACCATCTAGCATAAAAATTAACTTTCTAATTTCACATTTTTGGGGGCTAAATCTTGTAATTCACTTCATCGAGTCCTTTTTAACATTTGAACTTCTGCTACAGACAGATATCATGGATCTATTGGGGACTGACTTGCCTGTTGAGGATAACAATGACATAAATTTTGCTTGGTCTGATGGAATCCTTCTTCAGGTCAGTTAGTAGTAGCCTAGTAGGTGATGTTCTTTTTCTTTGGCTATATTCTTATTATTAGGGCTTTGATTTTACCAATCTGTGTTTAACTGATTCTGTGTAGGCTTTGAAGAATGGAAGTTGGGTTCTACTGGATGAACTTAACCTAGCTCCCCAATCAGTCTTAGAGGCATGCGTCTTGAACTGAACCTAATGTGTTCTATGTTTTTTTTTCTTTTGATAGTTAGTGATCTTTCTTTTGGGTGCTAAAGTTGGCAGGAGTCGAGCCCGAGACATACCATACTATAATGCACTATCAGAAAAAGTATACTATAGTCCAATGGACAGCGGAAACATGGTCCATTAGGAATATCGTAGTCCACTGAAGTGATGGTGATGGAGTGAGAATGGGACCCACTAGGGGTCCTGTTTCGTTGTGATGGTTCCCACTAGTACTGTTCATCACCTGAATAGATGGTGACAACTCAATGGACTATGAATTTCAGTAGTCCTCTAAATTATAGTTTACTCCCTTAAAAGTTAATTGACTCATTCTTAAATGCACTACACTTGCAGGGATTAAATGCTATCTTGGATCACCGTGGTGAGGTTTATATTCCAGAACTGGATTGCACCTACAAATGCCCACCATCTTTCAGAGTTTTTGCTTGTCAAAACCCTTCTTATCAGGGTGGTGGTAGGAAAGCCCTTCCGAAGTCCTTCCTCAATCGCTTCACTAAGGTCTGCCAATCTAGTCAAAATTCTTTTCTCCAATACCTTCTTTTCATAAATAACTCTTTATTCACGAAAGGAGTGCAACATTTGATATGTTTTTTAATTGAGATTGAAGTTATTTTGATAAAAAATCTGTGGTTTTTGGTTCATTTGCATGTGAAAATTTGATTGAATTGTTGTATAAAGCTGCTGTTATATTGTGTAGGTTTTTGTGGATGCTTTGTGTGAAGAAGACTACCTTTTTATCTGTAGCTCGCTTCATCCGGAGATCTCCAGGGACTTGCTTTCAAAGTTAATTTGCTTTAACGACCGTCTTTATAAAGATACCATGTTAGATGACAAATATGGTCAGATTGGATCTCCTTGGGAATTTAATTTGCGTGATATTCTACGGTCATGCCAACTTATAGAAGGTTAACACTCTTTTACTTTATTTTGTTAATTAGGCTAGGGAAGCATTTTTCTTTCTTTGGCAAAATATAAAAAATGTGCTTGGGATGCCTGTATGAACTGTGGAGGTGCTTCAGAAAATTGAAATCTTAAGAAAGCTACCATTCAAATTATATCTGAAGATGTCCATCTTCCCCAGATTAAGATTGAGGTCCAAATTTTTAACTTTTTTTTTTGGGGTTGTTCAGCGGGAAGGAGGGGGCCCAAGACGTCACGTTGTGATGCCCCACCACCTTGACCACCTAGCCCTGAGCCCATTCATAGAACCAATTTTTATTGCCGTTTTTTATGTACTCTTCTTGATCTGCTAAGTAGAAATCATGCCTTGACGTTCTGTGATTGGACTTTTTGGCACAGCTGAAACCCCAAAAGTAGATTGCTTCCTCAATGTTGTTTATCTTCAAAGAATGCACACGGAAGCAGACCGAATGCAAGTGGTCGAGCTCTATAAGGAAGTTTTTGATGTGAAACCTTGTTTAAATGACTCCCCAAAAATTCGAATTGAACCAAGCTACTTGATTGTAGGCAGTGCATGTGTCCAAAGAAATGTGGTCCAACCCACAAAGACTTCCCCAAGTGGACTTCATCTACTTCCTGGGCTGGGTCACAGCTTAGAAGCTGCTTTGCAATGTGTACAACATAGATGGTTGTGCATACTAGTGGGCCCACCTTCGTCTGGGAAAACCTCACTGGTCAGGTTAATGGCAGAACTTTCTGGAAATTCATTGCACGAATTCAATCTATCGTCTGGGACAGATATGTCGGATTTGCTTGGCAGCTTTGAGCAGTATGATGCTCCTAGACATTGGAGCTATGTTTTGGAACGTGTTAAAGGTTACATTGTTGAGTATTGCACCAAATGCTTGGAATACTCCCCATGGAAATTATTGGCTGAATGTGGTGAAAAATTGCTCAAGAGTTGGCTTGCTTTGGAATCAGGAATAAAATATTGTAGTTCTGCAAGCTTTGATCCCGGGAGTTGGATGCAGGGGCCAATAAATCCGCAGGAGCAATTGATTGAAATTGTGAAACAATTGGAACTGGGTGTTGAAGATGCACATTTAAATGTATCTTGGTCCATTAATGATCTGGATAACATACGGGATACCATTCGTGCTCTGCAGAGGAACTCTCAGTCCAAGTCATATTCCGGAAAATTTGAGTGGGTCTCTGGTGGCTTGATCAAGGCTCTTGAGCTTGGTCACTGGGTGGTTCTGGAGAATGCAAATCTCTGCAACCCCACGGTCAGTTGTATTTTCCCTTGGCTTCACTAATGGGTTTGATATGCATGTATATTAGTGTGTTATTGTTTTGATGCTTGACTAAATACGTAAAATTTGATTTTGTCTCTATGCATATAAAGGTTATTTTAAGACTGTTTATGCAGGTGCTTGATAGGTTAAATTCATTGGTTGAGCCAAGTGGTTCAATTACTATAAACGAGCGCGGGCTTGTGAATGGAAAACCAATGGTATTGCATACCCATCCCAATTTTCGCATGTTCTTCACAGTTGATCCTAGTCAAGGAGAAGTATCCAGGGCAATGCGCAATAGAGGTGTCGAGGTCTTTTTACTGCCGCCATACTGGATATCAGCTGAAATAACATCTGATTTTGATGTTAAGAAAGAAGACTTGAAGGTTGCAGAGAGATTCTTGGTTTTGTCGGGGATTCCGGTATATAAATTGGTTGAGGCAATGGCAAAAGCGCATGCATATGCTAAAGATGAAGGCTTACGCCTTGGCATCCATATCTCTCTCCTTGAACTTAGCCGGTGGGTTTCGTTTATTCCAGCTACTCCTGATGAATGGCTCTGGGCTTTCTGAGAGCTTGCTTTTAAGTTGGGATCACATATACAGGTCTTCATTTGGTTCCACTGAAGGAAGAGATATTGTTAACCATGCAGAAACCTTGTTTCTAGCGGGTTTGGGTCCATCTGAACAAGGCCCACTTTTGAGCTGCTCCTTATCTTTGCCTGGTGGGTGGCCAACACCACTTGAATTAAAAAGCTTCCTCTGGTATTCGAGAGAAACTTTTGTTAAACAAAATTGCATGTATTTGGAGTTCCTGGGAGCACAAGTTGCTTCTTCTCAAGTTATCAGCAGCAGTTGGAGCTTTAAGATGCAGTCCAGTACAAAGGGCCTCCTTGGACTGTCTAGGCTACCTGAATGCAAGAAACTCAATCCACGTGTGCTTCCAGTTCACTGGTTACAATTTATTCTGTTCCCTAATGCTTCAAATAACCCTGTCATACCTTCAGATTTTTGTTTGGAAATGGTCAACAACATGCTCTTCTTTGCTGCCACATGGACCATGGAACAGGCAACAAGTAGTGATCTCAACCTTTATATCCAGTATTTCAAGTGGTGTGCTTCTCTAATGGAACCGCATTGCAATTTCCTCCGAAGTTTTGTGGCAATACTTGAAAGAGAAAGAGACCATCCAATTTGGAGAAAGATTGATGATCAGTGGACAGAAATTATTTCTTATTGTAAAAATACTGAAAAGCAACAAAATAGAGGGAAGATTGTTGAAGTCCAGCATTTGCCATTGTTGTCAATGGAGGTTGTGGAATTTGCTACATCAAATGATTGTCTGAGAAATTGCGGCAAACTTCTGCATAATGCCATACGATGTGTTGACTTGTTGAGGCTCAGTTTTCAGCAGTGGAATGCTGAAGATGAAGTTGCATCAAATGCTCTGAAGAACATTCATTACAGAGCCTACAATTCACAGTCTCTAAATGGAAGGTTTAATCTCTCTGCACGACACTTAATTAATGCATTGAAGAAGTTGGAAATGGGTCTGCTTGATGTTATTGTGGAGTCGCCTTTCTTTGATCTATTTCATCAATTTTACATTAACCTTCTTGAGCACCATATTTCTATATGGAAGGCAGTAAATTTGTCACAATATGATTACTTGTGGATTTCTTTGAATGCATTGAAGAAGGAAGTGTCAAAGCTACGGGAGCATTTTCCTGAACTCGCGGATCGTATGCTGGTATATTTGAGTTTTGGTTGTTCATTTTACTTTAGCTTCTGAAATTCACTTATGCAATGATAAGAAAAGAGTAGGTAAAGAATAAAGAATAATCAATACAAAAAAGGAATTTCACCTCGATAATGATCCTCTTCAAAAAACAAATTTCAACTGGATAATGATCTTGTGATAGGATGAATGCTGGAAGTTAGATGTGGAGCTCTCTCGAGATTTCTATGTGGGAAATTCCATGCTTTGGAAGTATGGGGGGCACCCAGTAATGCCGTCTTCAGAGGATGTGTTTGTCAAATCACAACAGCTTTTGAATTTCTGTGAGGAGATATGGCCGAGGTCAATGACATTGAAAAACCAGATATGTTCAGGTCCTCTGATGTTATTTTGTTTAGTTTCTCTTTTTCTCTGATATCGAAATGATTTATTTCTAAAACCCATTTTACTGATATGTTATATGTGTAGTAGATGATGTCCATTCTCAAAAGAAATATCTAGTGGATGCTGCTATAGCTGCTAAACCAGAGATTCGTGTGCTGGCAATGGAAGGTAAGACCTAGTCCTGTCACTGTTTTCTGGTGCCATCGTACTGTTTTGCGGCTGGGAGCCTAGAACCTTAGGCGCCCTGAGGTGAAAAATTGCATCTGTGTCCTGTTAATTGTGTATATTTTTTTTGCATTTTTATGTATTCTAACCAACTTTTTTCCATGCAAGTATATTTCAGGAATGTTGAAACACGTTCACAACTTCAAATCATTGAAAATTTAGTGAAAAAAGTAAAAGACATGAACAAGTCCATGGTGTGTGAACCTCCAACTATCCAATCCAAACTGAGTATGCATACTCCATACTGACACATGAACACGATTACAACTAGACAAGATGAAATACAAAAGAGAAGTATAAAATCAATAGCCCAAATGTCCACTGCAAGAGGATGTAATACTCGAGACAAGATGAAATGCAAAAGAAGAGAGGAGATCTTTCTTCAATTATCACTAGGCAGAATCTTCATAAACACTTTCTTTTTTCAAAGTCTTCATAATCGCCAATGGCCTCAAGCAGGAGGTCGATGTAATGTGTAGAGTAAGGTCTCCAAAATATGCGAGGCCTTTTCTGGCGAAGGAAATGAGCTGCAACTAAATTTCAAGCAGCATTATCTGCGACCACTTGAATTACATGCTTCTTCCCAACCTCCTCAATGGCCTAACCAATAAAAGAGAATGTATACTATGCATCATGAACATCTTTAGAAGCATCAGTGGATCTAAAACATCTTTCCCTTAGGAACAATTCACCAACAGGTTCGTGATGCTCTTTCTCCTCCTATCACTCCAGGTATCAGTCATTATGGAAACCCTGAATTGAGCCCAGCCTATCTAATGGGTCTTGCGGTACTATCTTAGTGTGCTCTACCTCTTTCTTCAGTAGTGGCTCTGTTGTGAAAGCTCATAAGGGGTTGGGCCTTTCAACACTGGCCCAAATTGGCCAATTGCTTCCAAAATTGTATGGAAGCTGCTTAATTGAGTACTATTGAAAGAAATGCTGGCATGATAAACCACCTAGCAATTTACTGATTACCCGGCCTCGATCTTCCTTCTATGTATTTTTTAGCATCGCTTGCTTCTTCCCCTTGCCTTTCCCCATCTCAACTGCAGTCTCAGGGTTAGGTGTAAAAAAGACATCAACCCCTCTTGGAACACTGAAATACTGACACTCGGCCGACCTCTTCCCTTTCATCATCCTCATCACTATTTTCATCATCAAAAATATTAATGCTGCCCTCGATTTTGCTGTATCCTTCGCCTTTGTTAATCTTTTTTTTTTTTTTTTCAGCTTCTGTGTAGTCAAGAATCTCTTTCTTTACGAGATTAGGAAATTTTTTAGATGGGGCATCATTCCTTTTAATACCGGCAAGATTTTCTTGAATCTATTTATACTGGCATTCGAAACATGTCCACAAAAATTGCATATTATTTTTCTGTCATTTTTATCCGGGTTAATACAATATTTCCATCACGGATCCGCACACCTATTAGAACCTGAAGAAGACACCTCAAATCCAAAAAGAAATCTCAAATATTGAATTTAAGCTAACCTTTTTGCCTGATCTTTGTTCTTCGATGTGTTTGACATATTTCCAGCTAGAACACACGACAAAAGCCTTCAACTATCTTCACTAGCACCCTAAATTAAATTGCAACAATGAAGAGTAAGCTTATGTATGTTTCTTGAGATCTCATATACATATATATATTTTTTCGATTCATAGAGAATCTCAAAAAATAGATTTGGGGGCTTAGATTCCCATTGTTTGCACTTTGGGTAGAATACTCCCAATGGCCTTCTATGAAAAAATCGTGGGTCAAAAATACCTCTTATGGGGCACTTTATTTTCATAAAAGGGGCACCGTACCTGGATGCCACGTAGAACTGGGTGCCGGGTGTGCTTGCGCTGCTTGGGTGGGCATCTAGGGAGGGTCACCTTGCCCTGGGTGTGCGCCCTGAGGTCCTCCAAGTGCCTAGGTGCCGGGTGGACCTTTTTTTTAAACAATGGTTTAAATTACTTGATAGCTCATTTATCATATTTCAGTTGCTTCCGTTTGATAAGCTGACTTGACGTCTGTTTATTTTGGGTTAACTTAATTGGTTGTTGCATATTGTGGTTTCATATAGGCCTATGATATAAAGATTTCTGAAGGCTTAAATACGCTACAAAACTTGTCATGTGACAAAAGGAAAGATTATTCTGAAGAGGCAAACATGAAGCAACTTGCTATAGCTTTATCTTTCAGTGTTTGGTCACTTTCTTTTAGTTGAGAATACCAGTGACTCAAGGCTGTCTGGTTCTTGCTTAGTTGACTTACAGTCTTTTTGGATGGTGGCGAAATAGTGTTAACTAAATACCAATGAAGGATTTTAATTGTTTGATACCCAATTAGGAATAGTACACATGATATACTTGAAAGTGGTATTTATTGGGAGATTCAACTCATAGCAGCATTTCCAAATGGGGGAAAAAACTGAGGTTATCAGGTTGTCCCCTTCCTTGCCCCCTCTCTCATCCTTCTCCCAGCTTTAGTTCTCCTTTTCTCTCTCCCTCTCTCTAGAATACCAGAGAGAGAGAGTGTGTTAGAGATCCTGAAGAGTGAGTGTATGCATTGCCCTAGCATTTGTGTAAAGGACCTTTGAGGGAGAAAGAGAGACTGATATTCTGCAGTATGTAACCATAGAGAGCGTGGGAGTGGGAATGTCCTAGAGAGAGAAAAAGTGTGCGTGAGATTAGGTGTCCTGGATAGAGTGAACACTCTAGAGGGAGAAAGGGAATTGGGAAAGTCTACAGTAATATTTACAACTCAGTTACTATGTGAAAGAATTTTGTATCAAAACTGGCACTGAAGGTCTTTAACCTTGCTGGTTGTGGGCCTGTTCTGTGGTCAGATTCTTGCATAAACTTGCTACACTAATTCATGCTTAAATCATTGGGTAATTATTGCAAATTAGCTTAATTGGAAACAACTTTCAAAAACCTCGTCTACACCATTTTTCTTCATTTTCGCGTTTTTTTGGACGAAAATGATCTTCACGGTAGCCGTTTTACCGTAATTCATATCAAGTTTTACGGTAATTAAAATACCGTAATAACTTGACTTTACGATAATTAAAATACCGTAATAACTTGAAGCAGTGTTACGGTACTTCAAGTACCGTAATAGATAAGACTTGGGACGAAAATGATTTTCTTTATGACATTCTTTTTACCGTAATTATGCACCATGTATGGCTTACTTCTCGACCAATGAGGGAGAGGAGAGAGAGATGAGACTTGGGAGAGAGACGGGTTTTACGTGTGAGAGAGATTTGAGAGAGAAAGGAGAGAAAAGTGGTGTGGAGTAGAGAGAAAGTTTAGGGGCGGATGGAGATGAAATAGAGATAAGGACGGGCGAGAGAGTTGAAAGGGTTAGAGATGGTTTGTTGGGGGGATTGAGAGAGAGAGAGTGGGAAAGTTGAGAGAAAGAGGGGTACATTGGATTAAAAGTGCTGTATAAAATGAGTTAAACATTACGATAGTTAAAGTACCGTATAAAATGGAAACATTATGGTAGAAAGAATGCCGTAAAGAAAATGTTATCTATTACAGTACTTAAAGTACTGTAATACTACTTCAAGTTATTACGGTATTTTAATTACAGTAATACTACAAGTTATTACGGTATTTTAATTATCGTAATACTACTTCAAGTTATTACGGTATTTTAATTACCATAAAACTTAATGTGAATTACAGTAAAATGACTACCGTGAAGGTTATTTTCGTAAAAAAAAACCTGAAGATGAAAAAAGGTTTATACGAGGTTTTTGAAAGTTGGTTTTTTTTTTCAATTAAGCTAAAATATAGGTATATTTACGATAATTACCCTAAATCATTTGGTGAAAAGGTGATAACCCTTCCCAACAAGGTAATTCAGCTATTTATCTTTTATTTTATTTATTTTTTTATTGTTGGAACCAGTAACTCTATTTATATTTATAATAGTTGAATGTACACCCAACATCGGCATATTCAAAAAAAAAAAAAGTTGAATGTACATCCACACTCCTTGTATAGTTTGTAGAATATGGACACAAATTTACAAGAAAGCACAAAAAATAAAAAATCACATGACAGCAAAAAATTAATTTTTCCTTTTGTCACGTGACAAGCAAAAAAACTCACATGGCAGTGATTAAGGGGAATCCATCTTTCTAGGTTTTGAAGCTTGGCATCCTGAGGTATGTGTGGGGTCTTGCTAGGGTGGTTGAGTTCAGTCTGTGGACAAATATCTTTCTATTCTCTTAATTTCTTTGTTAGTAAATGCAGTGTATCCTGAAATGCACGTTGTCTAAACTTACCGTTGTTGATGTGACCATTTATTAGAATTCCATACACTGAAGCTAGATTCTTCTGCAGCAATGGTATTCCCATTCCCAAGTATTAGTGTCTTGGCAATGCCGGCAATCCACTGCATTGTAATGCCCTAAAGCATTTATGCTTTTCTTTCCTGATATCTGAAGGTGGTAGATTATGTTTAATCCAACTGTTGCTGAAAATACTTCTCTTGGTGGCTTGGCACCTGTTCTTCTCTTTTATATGTATGCATTTCCACTAGTATTCTTTCAAGACTGTATTGTTGGTATGAAATTATCTAATCCCTCATTTTGTGCAGTCTATTACTATTCATTTTGCTAATGCTATATATGATATGTTGGATAATCTCAATATGATTTTTGCAGATGTTTTATAATGTGTGTTATGCTCCAGGTGTTTCCTTGTCCTCTAATTGTATATCTGCAAGTGGCCATCATAACTCTGATAATATTTGTCATTTGGAAGAGATACACCAGGTACTCCTTTAAATTATTTCACTAGCTGATTGAAAAATGTACTCTCTACTAAAATTGTGGGACTCATTTTGACTTACAGAAGCTTTTGAGATTGGTTGAATTGGAGAGGCATATTCTAGAAGGAGTTATAGATCCCATGGGCCATCATCCAAGTTGCCTTTCTGGAAAATTATCCGACTGTTGTTCATTTCACTTGCATAATTTCTGCACAATCTCAGCATACGAGCAGTGGCTCATGATTGTTCCGTTAAATGATATCAAGAGCTGGTACCTGGATTTGGGTTTGCTTCAAACATTATCGGAGAATCTTCTGCAAGAGCCTGGTGATCAGCATCAGGTCAAGTGCTTGTACCCAGAAAACCTAAGTTACTTTTTTATTTTGCAGAAGCCATACTTCCTTTCTAGTGCACGAATAAAACCATGCAGTGACAATAATGGTTCTGAGATTAAGATATTGCTTTTGAGTGGGCATTGCCTAAATGTGCATAGACACATGATGGTTCTGATATAAAGATATTGCTTTTAATGGTATCAACCAAAATGTACCTAAATGGTCATCCAATTGATAATGCAAGAAACACCCAATTCAACACTAATTTAAATTTTAGTTTGGGCACCTCAGACTTTCATTGCTTGCTATTAAGTGGCACACATATGGTTTTTTTCCCCTTTTTTTTTTGAAAATTGTCTAGTATCCTCTCTCTCTATCAAGAAAATAATAAATAAAAAATAAAATTGATACTTTTTTTTTTTTAACTTCAGGTTCTTTTGCAAATCGTTGAACGTTTGAATTGCTCTAAGGAATTTTCGCTGAAGTCATCATCAAGACCAGCATTGGATTTTTCTCCTCATGAAAGTATGATGCAAGTTTTACGTGATTGGTCCTCAGTGGAATCTGGTAAATTGGCCGTCCCTTTTGCTTTTCCAAATTTTGGTTATACTTTTTCTTTTTCATTGGGTTGTATTTTGAATTATCTAACATTTTGTTGTTATCAGTGACTACAAAAGTGGCAAGTTTTGCGCTGGATATGTGGTTCCGTTGGCATTCATCTTTGTGGACTCCCCGCCAAAAACCACTCAAGGTTAGTACTTTAATTCTACACATTAATTTCCGGAAACATGTTTTCCTTTTTAGGAATTCTCAGTTTACTTACTTTGGGTATAATGCTTCTTCCTCTTCTAAACGTTCTTCAATTTGATACATCGCACTTTCTTGTCCAACATACAGAACTGCGCTGAATGGAATTACAATGATATTCAGGGACCAAGTGCTCTATTCCAGCTAGCGAAGACATTAGCAGTTGACGCATTTCTGTAAGATGTTTTTGCAAGTTGAATGTGGGCTCTATATTTATTTCAATATTTTCTGCTTGGAGAGACTTCAGCTGTTTACTGCTGTTCTTTTTATTTATGTGAATGACGATTGAGTCTATCATGTGATCTTATTATACTCTATTTATCGTATTTTAGTGTTTTTGTTCATTGGAATTTGTTTTCCGGGTCTTCTTTTTCTTTCTCCAATCTAGACCACCCAACTTTGATGTTACTTATAGGGTTCAAGATCTGTCAAGGTGATGAAATGTGCAGCTTTTGTTGTGAAATGATTAATCTTTTATTATTATTTCTTCATTTCAGTCAGCGTGGTGTCGTTGTCAATGACCATGCAATTCAATGCCTGCTTCTTAATGTTGTTACTCGAAGCCTTTGGCGTGATGCTTCTTCAATGGGGGCTGTATATGAAGTGGTTTACTCTGCTGCTCGTTCTCTCTTCCAGCAGGTTTGGTTCATTCCTTAGTGAGTTGGAAGCTTCTCTGTTAACTCCATTACTGATCCTTTCTTTCACTGCTTGCCAGATTATCTTTGCTCATCGCAAGTCTTTTGATGAAGACAAATTCTTGGAACTCAAGTCAATGTTGCTTTCAATTCAGGAAGGCCATAAAATGGTATGCGTTCTTTTTGCTTATTTCCAATGTTAATTAAAGGACAAGGTTTCTACGAGTTTGCCACCTCATCTATTTACAATAGATTTTGGATCTAAAATTTAAAAGATTGAATATCTAAACCATGATGAGTATGAATCTAAAGGGTATAACTTTTAAACAAATAGAAAATGAGATTTTCTAATATAATTTTAACACCCTTAATCATGAATCTGGATGGGGCCACCATTGGTTGACATCCATCTGCGATGGATGCTTGAGTGTGTCAGGGGATGCTATTGTCGGAGTGTATCCCCTGACAGATCAATTACTTTTCCTAAATTAAATAGTGACAGGCATTTATGATGGTGTATTGTTTGGGTTTCAAAGATTGTGATTCTATGTGGGATATATTCTAGTTATTTTATATCCTTGTATCTTGTGCCATGGATTGCGATGCTTTTATACTTCTCAGTTGAATGATACCAGTCCAACATTTAACTTGAGAAATGCATTCTTTAGTGATTCTTTTTGTTTATCATACACTCATCCCAACTGATTTTGTTCCCCGTGCATTTGCCTTGCCCGCATCATTCAACCTCCAATCTTGGGGCTATCGTTGCATAGTTAATACTTGTATGTCTTTTATTAACTACTTGTTTTGCTCGGCCATGGATATTTTTTTTTTGACAAGGAAAACTTAATCTTTAATTTTTTAACTTTGATATAGGAAGGAAAGGAATCTACATTTCTCCTGAACTTCAAACAAGTAAAATCAGCAATTATAGAGAAAAGACATGGCTGAAAATGAAGCCAACAAATGAAGAACTTTCTTCTTCATAAAGTGAAATTCATTCCAATAATATAAGCATCTCAAAATGTGACGCATCTAATCTTTTATAAGCCTATGAAACCCTAAAATTAAGTTGAGATCTAAGTAAACATTTAAGACTTAACATACCCCTACACAGTATTAAAGTTCTAAAAATACCCCTGTAGACAATAATTGATGAACAATAACTGTGAATAGTACCATGAATAGTAAATAAAGAAAATATAAAAAAAAATCCTACAATCCCTCAAAAACTTAAAAACCCTAAAAATACACCCTAAAACTAAAATTAAAATATGCATCCTTTGCAATTGAATAAAAATTAAAATAAGAGTAATTTTGCCCTTCATCAAATTTTCATTTGAAATTCATTTACCCCAGATTCTTCTGATTGTTATATTTTGTTCACAGAAAGCATCGTCTCAAGATCTGGAAAAATTGAAACTGATTCTTCGATCTTCAAGGCATGGCCAACTGGTGGCGCTGATTAATTCGCACGTCGGACCTTTGGTCAAGGAGCTTTACTATGAATCCGCTTCTAAGGGTAATATTGAGTGCCATTTTTCATTGTAATTATATTATAAATAAATGCTACTATTTTATCATTAGAAAAACAGGGTGCCATATTTTGCATGTTGAGAATCAACAAATTCCACTGTTGCATGATCACAATTTGCTACTGAATATGGGAAACTCATGAGTGGTTCCTCTTGTTTCACACCTGATTCTTATTCTACACTTCTTTTATAGACTTTATGTGCAACCTTGGTCATGCATGGTTACATATTGGGGAGTTGCGATTTTGCCTGTTAGTAAACCGGGGTGCTCGTGATCCTGCCACGAAACATGCTTGCAAGTATGCTAAGTTATCAGAAAAGATCACTGTATGTGAACTCGAGATCAAGGTATGTATTTGCTGACAAATTTTGAATGTAAGTTGTTTTCATATACCCTATGGCAATCTCAATGGTTCACAAACCACATATTGGTGTGCACTTACGGGGTGTATTCTTTATTCGTATGTTATTATAAATCTATGCATGCTTGCATGTTCTGTTACTCTGAAAAGCAGTGGGCCGTGAATATGAATACAGCAAAGTGCATGTCTGCTTATAATGCTTTCGTCTATGAACCATGTCTTTGTTTGCCTTCAATCCATAGCTTTGATATTTGTTATTCAGGATATACTTAGTGTATCCATCTCTTTCTATGTTAAACTCACACATATATGTCTATCTACGTCTATATTTGTGTGCATATATGATATGTATATTCTGTCGTGTGTGTCTCTATATGGTGAACTCCTACCCCTTAATGTAAGATATGTTTGATGAGGGGGTCATTGGCCTGCGACATAATGCATAGAGCGCGTCTGCTATGCTCTGTCAGGAGTATAGTTTACTTCTACTCCCTCAATCAAAAGACCTACTTAGTGGATAATTATTCTCAAAAAATAAAAATCTGAAATTTGAGTTTTCTAACACTTAGATCTCACCATCTAAAAATTGGATGGTTTCTATTCAATCTTGAGACATTTTTTCAAGTGCATAGAGGGTACAATTAGGAATTTTTTTTTATTTGAGGTTAATCTATAGGTTGAAGAGGTTACATCCCCAATGTTTGGGATCCCAAAATTAATTCTAGGTGGGGTTTTACTTGAGGGAGTAAATGGACACTATACTCCCGTGGGAGTATATTATCTTTTGGCTAATGCATATTGTTAGTAAAAGATTGTGCTTGCGCAAAATGGATACATTTTGGGGGTTCTTTACTTTTTGTATGCTATTTGATTTGGATGTTAGCATGAGACACAGTGTGTTCATTTAATCTTTTTCATTTTAATATTCTATTTTTTATTTATATGAGTCTTTCTTTTCTTTCCTTTGAGTTGCAAATTTTTTAAGTTATTATGGGAACCAAACTGATTTGTTATATATTAATTGAATAGGTTCGCCAAGAATGTGACCATTTGGCTGGAAGGGACTTGTTAACTGCGAATTCCAGAGATCGAGAATCTTCACTTCAAATGCTCAAAGAAGAGCTTAAGAGGTTGAAAGCTAAGGTTGTAATGCTAAGCCCTTTCTCGTGTTTTTTGCAACAGTTTTATTCAATATCATGATTGATTGTTGGCAGATATGGAATCTTCTCTGTGTTTTTTGCTTAGTTAAGAACTGTGTAGGATTTATAGCCCTTGTATGCTAGAGAGTGGAGACTTCAGTGTACTTGTAATGGTTTGTTGGATCGAGATTGGCAACTGTGTTCATTTCTAAGTAGAAATATTGTCCTCTTGTAACAGGTTGTTTTCCGTCCTCATTTGGCTAATTTCAAGGATTTAGTTTACTACTGTGTTGATTTCCATGAATCACTCGATGACCTTGATAGACTGACGAGAGAAATGGAAACTGAATACAATATTTTGCAGCAGGACCGAGTATGCTTCTGGCAGGTAAATAAATAGATAAATATAGGCAAATATGCTGTAAAATTGTAAAATTATTTCTCATCCATAGTACATATTCTAAATTTCTTGGAATGTATGTGTGCAAGTCGTCACCAAACAGATAGTGGCCTTCATTTTGTTGATTCAATTATAAACTTGGATTTTGGTCGCTCTCCTTGCAAATTAGGAATCCCCCTCTCCTTACACAGCAGACTTAACAAACAAGGTTTCGTTGCATAAGTAAGTTTTAGATGAGTTCCTACTTTTCTAAACATCCTTAATCATTAGTTATCTTTGCGTAAAAGCAAGGATTACTTTTTTTTTTAATTACGAATTTCTTTTTTTTTAAAATAATTTATGCTGATCTATATTAAGAGATATGAAAAATATTCTATCTGTACATAATAGTGTCCTAATGGATATGAGCAATGATTTCATGCAACGGTTGTATCATAATATAATGCAACTACATTAAAAAACCATGTTAGGTATATTTGTTTGATGCAATTTTTTAGATGTATACTCTTTTCATTCTAAAGAACAATCACAAAAATGAAAATTTAGTAAAAAATGCCCTAAAAAGTGTTTTTCTAGCCCAATTAATATAAGATGTCCATTTTAGTGAGAAGGTTAGATATAGGCCTCAAAAGGATTTTTTTATTCCCAAAATTTTTATATAGTGTTATCATCATTAGATTAACAATGCTAAAAAAGAAGAAAGTGATTTTTGATTTGTTAAGGCCTAAATCTTGAAATTCATCGAATGGACGGTCGAGATTCATTGTGGGAGGGTACTAATTTTTACTATATCTAGGGTACAAATTGAATTTTTTTTTTCATAAGATTTGAGTATGAGGATGAAGAGAATGTGTATGCAAAATTTTGAGTCATACAAATGCCAAAAACATGGTTTTCTAGAAGTGTGGTTGTATTATACTATGATACAATCATTGCTCAATGGATATAGTTTCTTTGCACGTATAGGCATATCATAAATTCTGTTCTTCTGAATTTTGTTAATAGTGTTTATTTTCAAGTAAAAGAAAGGAATATGACACATTAGTTTTTGTTCTTTTAAACTATGAATTTATTTTCAGAATAATTTTTATAAAACTAAAGGATTTAATATTGCCTTATTCCGAATAGTGATTCTCTCTAACATGTACATTTGAAAAATCCGAAATTGATATGCACATGGAGCTTGCTAATACATATCATTCCTATGCGTATATAGGCAAAAGATAGCCCTTTCTTCTCGATTTTGTTATTATTTTTTATTTTAATTTTTAATTTTATTTTTAATTATGATTCTTTATTTTTTCGTCTTTGCAAATTTAGAGTAAGGTATTTATCTATACAATGTTGATAAATATCTTAAATTACTATCCATGTCATGCTTGCTATGCATGATGCACTGCTTGGACTAGTTATTCGATATAAGCATTCTCTGGTTCGATGTTTGGTTTACCATGATGCAACTTTTAAAGCATTCTGTCATTGGGTTTATCCTTTATTAGTTTCTTTTTTCTGATAATTTTGTTCTCTTCTATTTCAGGATAAATTAGCCAGATTTGTTGATCAACTTGCAGTAAATTATACTAATTATATGGATATAGTTCAGCCCATTCAAGTTGCTGTATATGAAATGAAATTGGGCTTGTATTTTCTTGCATTAAATGCAATGCAGAAGAATATTCTGAATAAAGTCGGGCAAGCCAATATTGACCTAACTCATGTAAGTCATCTTAGTGGAGAGTGACCATACTTCTTGCAAGTCTTATAAATGGCACCTTTCTTTCTGTTTCTCACTTTTGCTCCTAATTGACTTCTCTTTTCTCACCAGGACACACTTTGTTCACTCATGGAATTCCCAAGAAAACAGAGTTCAGAATCAGCTTCTGCTGGGAAAGCAATTTGTCTACCTAATGTGGATTTGCTTCATAAGTTATCTGGAACATCTGCAGTAGTAAGTCCTTGTAGAGACTCAATTGATAGCAGTTTACCTTTCTTATGAGAACTTATTCTTAATTGACATATATTCAGTTCTTTTTTATGCTGGGAAAAAATTTCATGTTTATTTGTAAATGTTTTCGATCGCATATTCAAATATAGTGCTTAGAGTTGCTATTTTTGTTTGTTCTCATTTTAGATACTTCCAATTTAGAATACATCCACCTTTGCTGACATTCTTCCTCTCGATCCTAGGTGTTGAGTGTGCACTCCCATGCTACCATTTCTCAAATTCATCTTATTCGTGTTGCGCATTATATCTTCAATTCGTTATTCTTGGATCATGATTTGATGGAGGTTAGTGTCTCTGCTTTCTCTATGATTCCGTCTTCAGAAGAATGTGATAGGTGTTGTTTCTGATAGCTCTTGTCACTTTTGTGTCAGGATTTAAATAAGATATTTGACCATTTTGCGGCTCTTTGGATGGATATGAAAGTACATCTGAAGTCGAAAGTAGGTGATAAGGCTGATTTGTACAAATTTAAACCTCGTATACTCAAGATAGAAGATAGTTTTGAAGTTGATATCTCGGATTTGAGAAAAGTTGTCCCAGAGGACAATTGGTCTCTGGAGTGGCAAGATATTTTAACAGATCCAGAAGTGGTAACAATCTTCTCTTTCCTGTTAATTAATTGTCTCCGGATAATTTTGCCTGAAGATTGTTGAATAGCCAATATTTTCTTGTGCAAATGGTTTATTTCATGATAAGTTTTTAAAGGAGTGCACTTTTTTTTTTGGGGGGGGGACATCAGAAGGATCAGGAAATGAAGACTGAAGATATGGAGGATGCTTGGGATTTCATCGATGACTCACTCTTAAGAGACATAATTCATGTCCATAATCGTCTTTTTGGATCAAGTAACCTTGTGGATTACGTAAGTTATTTTTTTTATTGTTTGATAACCCTTGTACTCATAAGACACACGATGCGGGTCATAAAATTGGCTGTGATGTGTTTGATTCTCTTATCATCTGTTGAAATGCTTGTAGCTTTTTGCATGTTGCTGAAGCTACTCACATATCCATGCTAGGATTGTTTTTAGATATATGGAAACTTCTTATAATATTTTCTTTCACTAGTTCTGCTCTGGTACCGGACCTCATGCCTTTCAATGCAGCCTTGTAGAGTTCAGGTTACTGAAGATGATAAGTTGCATGAATTTCTTGTCTCTTACAAGTTTGGAATGAGGATCATCAGAGGCAACAGAGGTGACATTTCCCTTCCCTGATTTGAGCTGTAGACACTACATAATCGCACAGAAACATGTAATTGATTTGTCCTCTGGAAAATCGTTTAATCCTCCCTGCTTTCAGAGCTGTGGGCTTCATTACCCTGTGGCCTGGATTCACGTATTTTGCTGAGTCACTTGCTTCAACTGTCTTTGGAGCACAAGCAGATTTCTGATTCTTCACATCCAATGCTTCGTGCCTACAACATCTATAAGGTGTATTGCGGAATGTGTCATTTTTTTTATTTAAGATTCATTCTTCTTTTTATTTTCAGTTTCATAATTATGTTTCTATCTTTCTTACTAGGATTCCAACACTCGGGAGTTGGCTCAAATGGTAAAGCCCCTTTTCTCTCTTCAAGAAAGGGTAGTTTCTCTCCTAAATGAGTGGCCAGAAAATGTCACCCTCCAGCAAATTTTGGAAATAATTGACATGCTCTTAGCTATTCCATTGGAAACGCCCCTGTTAAAGGTACTGAAAGTTTGTTCCTGTCCTCTAGCATTTGCCGATTATTTTGACAGATATCAAGAAATTTGAGTTTCATTGTTGCTTTCCTGTTTCCTGTGAAGGCTCTTGTCGGATTACAACTTTTAGTAAGCAGAGCTCAACTATGGGAGCAAAATGCTTCAAAGTTTTCATCGTTATCGGGTAAGGCACATCTCTTTGATGGCTTTCTCTCGAGTCTGGTCTAACTTATAGTTAGGTTATTCTAATTATCTTTTTGCATCCAGAACAATTGCAGCCGGTTTACTTTTTCATTTGTCGTTGGCGCAAGTTTGAGTTTGATTGTTGGCCTGCTTTGCTTGATGACCTTCAAGAGCAGCATGAACTGAATGCTGGAAAGGTAACCTGTTTTTCTTGAGTTTGATTGTTGGACTTATGGATCATCCTGTTTTTCTTGGTTGCTGTGTATCATTGTAACCTCCTACAAGAGGATTTTGATTCTTTTTGGTTTGCCTTTCCTTGAGCTCCTTTTTTGTGGTCGGCCAAGGTTTCTTGTACACTCTTTCTCTCACTAATTCAAGGTTAACACTTTTAAAAACTGAATGATGGAAAATGTGATTTAGATAACCTTCTCACAAGCAGGAACAAGTATAATTGTTCTGTTTCTGATTTATCTAACAATGCAGCTGTGGTTTCCATTGCACTCCCTTCTTCATCGGAAACTTTCCTGTGAGGTGAACAACGGAAATCTTTCCACAATTCAAAGGTATGCTACTGCTTATTTGACTGGTTACAGACAAATTATGGTTAGTTGACAATATTTAACATGATGTAAATTCTAATTGCAGTTTAGAGGAGTTTATGCAGACAGCCAATGCAGGGGAGTTCAAGAAGCGCTTAGAACTTCTCCTTGCTTTTCACGGACAGTTCATCACTTGTATTAACTTGCATGCTGGTTCTGAAAGTGAATCCATGTAAGATAACTGGATTATCTTCCATTACCAAAAGCATGTTATAGTTAATGATGATTTCCTTTGTTTTATTTATCCTGGAATTTACATAACTGTGTGTGAGACCATATTATTCAAGGAGATTTAATACTGAATGTAAGACATTTCATAAGCAGTTTTCCCCTTTCCAAATTCGACTATGTACATGTGTGTCAGAGGAGTTCTTTTTGTTTTTTTACCATCACCTGGTAGGATGTTGCTCAGGGACTTGGCCTATAGGAGTTGAACTACATATTTTATCTTAAAGTTGCTTTTTGAAATAGATCTTTTTGGAGGTATAATGTTTGTACGTGGTATTTCTTTGTTACTTTTGTATTTCTTATGTAGTATATCCGTTGTTCTTGGGGTACTTATGCCCAGTTGCAATTATTCAATCAATATGAGAATGGCCTTTTGAACTTAATTTTTTTCTGATAATTAGAGTCAGAGAAGGGATTCAAACAATGAGGGAATCCCACTAGGGTTCATTTTATAAAGTTTCTCTTGGAAGCATCCTATCATAGACAAAAATGCCTCTGCAATAAATTCGAAGCATGGCTGAAATGTTTTGAAACACACTTGAACTAATCTTGAAACTTGCCATGACAAGTTTGTTATGGCAACTTCATTTACAATTGTTTAATTAATTTGTAGCTGTAAATTATTTGTATGACTTTTTTTATAGTTATTATTTGTTTGACTTCATAAATTTGCATTTCTGTTCATATACTTGTCTTCTAATAGGGTTAATCTTTAAGGAAACATTTTACTAATTTACTCTGGCTTATATACCAGTTGATAATAGGAATCATTTCTGAGATGATCGGTAAAAATGTTTGTATTACAGCCATACCTGTGAATGTTTCCAATAGAGCATATCGAAAACTTTGCAGACCTTACTGTACCAGTACTTCTATCACATATTTGTGCGCATAATTTTTCCATTGCTTCAAAACTATAGGCGAACTTCAACTTATATCCTTTGTCATTCATGCATAATGCGGGGATCACATGCTTTGATTCATTCAGATGCATTCTTAGTGTATTTAACTTTTGAAACTTACAAACTTATGAGTTCCAAAGCTCTGTCTCTTTCTTCTCAATATATACGAGTGCACCCTTGTCTTCAAATGCATTTTTATCATGTTTTAATTGTGTAATAAACTTTTGCGTGTTAGTGGCATGATCCAAGTATTAACGCCATGCTTTTCTCTTAATATAAAGTTGTATGCTCATTATTTGTTTTGCTTTGATGATGGTTGCTACCTTGACGTGTCTAAATATAGTCTTGTTTCTTTCTTCTGATAGTGTGTTTATGCGTACAATTTCTGTGGTTTTGATCTTGCAGACCTCAGCTTAAGGCAAACTCAAATATTTTGTACAACATTTTTGGATATTATGTACAATTTTTGCCATTGTAAGTATGGATTTCTCACAAAGCTGTCTTGTATGATCATGTTTCTAGAAGAATCTCCTCCGATGAGTTCCCACTCGATAAAAATTGTGGGTTTTGCTTTTTATGTACTAATGATATTTTCTGGATCTTTGTTTCTTGTTCAGGATTTTAAAACATGTGGGAGTTGGTAGAAAAAATATCGAGAAGGATTTGAAGGATTTCTCGAAGCTCTGCAAATGGGAGGATCACACATATGTTGCTTTAACGGAAATGTCTAAAAGAACTCATCAGAAACTTCGAAAGCTTCTACAAAAGTTCAATGTATATTATATGTCCTTTCTAAATTGTTTGAGAACTATCTCATTTTGTTTAGTTGATTGACATGTCATTTAGCTTTAGTAGGTGTACTTTAGTTCTTGGATTCTATCATTTTTTTTTAATGTGTCATAAATGTCATCACTTGTATTATCCTATATTCTGTCCATTCGTCATTCAAATGATAGGCGCAAAAGTGAATCACTTTGTTGCATAGAGAAAATGGGAGGTCGAACAGAACATAAGTGGGAGTGGACAAACATTTTTATTTTCAAGGGTTGTGACTTTTGCCTCTTCTTCCTAAAGTCTTATTGTTTGGACCCATCTTTTTGCGAGCGTCTCTCTGCATTCATTGTTGAGAAAATGAGTTTCATTTTCTTGATTACTCATTATTTGTTTGATATGTGAGTTTGATATTTCTACCTGCAATGCATTATATAAGGCTAAGAACTTCAAACTATTGCATTGCTGGTCAATTCCAGATATGTTTATTCTTTTGTAGATCGAGTTGTGTCCAAGTTGGGTACCCCACGACTTTCTTGATATTGAGTTGAACCACTGGTGGTAGTTTCAGACAATCTTTGGATAAATGTCACTAACATTTTTCAACTAACATTTTTTTTTGTTAATTTGAATAAAATATGATCAAGATTCAATTTCTTCTCACTGCTTCCTCCTATAGTTTCATTTGATAGTATCTAACATTTGGGTCCGGATGTACTCATAAAATGATCTTCATCGTGTACTATGGTTATTTTCTTTTTTGTATTTTATTTCAGAATTTTATTTCATGTCATGAAGCCTTGCCTTTTCTGCTGTGAATGTCAAATTAACTTATGCATAGTTTATAAAGTCATGTTACCTTATTTATTAATATTTTGAACAACTTGTCGCCACAGTTTTGCTTATTTCTCCTGTTCTACGGTACAGGACATATTGCAACAGCCTGTAATGGTTATATTAACCCAAGAAGCTGCAAGACTGGCGATTCGAAGTCCTGCAGTGGTGGCTAACCAAATACCTGCTGAAGGAGATGCTATAAATATGAAGATGCTGCCAAGTGTGATAGATTTTGTCCCATCCAGTTCTACTGAAAGGTTTCCTCCCCCATTTCTTTGTTAGAATATTCAGAAAAAAGAAATTGTGTATCATCTGCATCTATTGTAGAAGGAATATTTGCATGACTATATCATATTATTGTTTTTGTAGTTTGGCTGTTTGTTATGAGAACTGGAGACACACAATTGAGTCTGATTTACAGCATTTATGCTCGGGACACGCAGTCCAATTTGGTTTGCTAGGCCCTGGATCAGAGGAATTTCAAGGTTTATATGCTTAAATTGAAATGCTGTTCTTCTATAGCTAAACTACGTACTGGGCTTTACTCCAATTTTTTTTGGTTGCTGCTTACCAGAACTCTAATGATGCAGATTCATTACCCCTTAAAGAAATTGAGAAAGCTGCAATGAACATATCCCAGTGTGTGTTTTCTAAATCAGCATGTCAATTACGTCAGGAAGGACGGATTTCAATAGAGACATTACATGAAAATGTTGCTGAATTTATGCACCTTCGCCTCAACCATGGGAGCAAAAAGCTTATGAAGCTAGTGTTAAACAACCTTCTAGAGTTTCTGGATAGAGTTGGGTTATCCAGTAATAAATCAGTGATCGCTGAGGTATTTATATATGGAATATTTCTTCCTTCAATTCTTAGCTGTCCAACTGGTTTTTCTGACTTCTGCCATCAATGGAAATTCCCATGCATACATCTATTTTTTCTTTTATCTCGAGGATAATTTGACAGTTCTATCATACTTCTTCAAGGATTTAAGCAATGCCTTAGCATCATTGCATTAAGGGCAGGCATATAATGGCACAATGGACAATGGAAAAACATGGCCTGCTGGGGTCATCACCATCCAATGAGATGATGGATAATTGTGGAATTCACCAGAAGAGAATATGAGCCCGATAGAGGGTCTTACTAATGTCACTTACTTCCATTTCTTGGATGGTGATGACCCCCAATATAGTGCACTCAAATAAACTAACTTGGGAGATCTTGATTTTCCTGTTATTGTTGTGACTGATACTGCAATTCTTCTGATAATGACTGGAAATCAATCTTTTGCAGAGGGAGCGTGATCCAAGTAGCTGGTTTCTTGAACCATCGTGGGATGTTAGACATCTATTGCTCCAAGAAAATGGGAAATATGATAGAAGTTTCAACGAGATTAGCTATGGTCATTTTCCTTGGTTGCCAGCTGAAAAGAGTGAGTTAATCTGGAAAGCGGCGAGCCTTTGCTACTACAAGAACATGGCAATGATGCAGCAGATAAGAGAAAGTAGCCTTAATTTCCATAAAGATCTTGATAACAAAATGGTAATTTGCACATAGCAGATGGAAAGTTTACCCAAAAATGTCTTTAATATATAGTTTCACTGTACAATATGATTTCTGGTAGTTTTTCCATATGGGAAATTGTTTCATTCGGGCTCGATCGCATGACTACATATGCGGTCCAAAAAGTGTAAAGGATCCATCTTAAAGATGGATGCAAGTAGTTGTTCCATCTAAAAACAATGGAAACTAACGGTCCAAATGTTTTCTTACTAGAATTATTATTTCTAGTTTTTAAAACTTACTTATTTTTTCATATTCATGATTTCCATGTTAGAGATTACATGTCTTTAAAAATTAAGTCTTAAAATCTATCCCAAAAATAGATTTATTAAGAAGCCCACATTTCTACATATGCGGGCTTGGCCTCATGGAAACCGGGTCCTTTCCATATTGATGGTTATGCCTGTTAGATGTCAAGAATGAAAAATTATTAATTTTTGTATATAGTGATTTGAGGATAGTTTTGGAATATAATTTTGGTCAATTTCCCTTAGGGGCGGGCAACATGCTAGATGCAAAAGGTAGCATGGGATCTTTTTGCATATAGTCATCATCATAGCCTTTTCCCAACTATTCAGGATCCTTTAACATAATTTTTTCTATATAAACCAGGATGAAGTTGATTCCATATTCATGATATAGTATGTGTGCTATGCAGGTCACTGAATCAACTGCTCTCCTCAATCATCTCATGTCCATACAAAGGCATCAGAGAGAATTTGCTGGTGCATTTTCCAATGAGCTCCAATATTTGCGGAAGCTCACTTATCCATTCAATGAACTGGGTATTGACCCTTTTTTCTCTACGGTCTGCTCTAGATCATTTACCTTTCTTGATAGTTGGTAATGGATCATTTGAATCAGAAATTGTGTCTACCTATTCCGTTATTCATATCAAAATGTAATTGGGCAATTCTCTTTTTCTCAGGTCTTGGTTGCAAAAAGTTTTCTCTTTCCCCTAGACAGCTTGCCACCCACAAGTGTATGCATCAGCAAAAGGTGATTTTATTGGAAATGATTGCTTAAAATTTACACATAGCTGTCTGTACTTCAGTCCTTGACAGAGCCAAGCAGTCTTGTTGATTTGAGTGTGGAAAATTTGAGACTTTTGAAGTGGTCCAAATCATTGAAAAGGTCAAAAAGCCAACTGACTCAAACTTACAGTAGTTTTAGCGTTCTCTGAATCACTCGCAGTTCAGTGGTTACTTTTTTGGGGTTCTACTTTTCTAGTGGGCAAATTTTCCCCACTCCCTCGGAGGAAATAAAATGGTCTTTAGATGCCTACCCCAGCCTTGTCCCAAACTCACCCAGAACCAAATTGTCGAGATTTGGGCCGGCCAAATTGTTGACAATTTTTCCTGAAATGTTTTCCTCTTGTGGGCCATTATATTTTGAAAGTAATACCTTAAGTTTCTCCAATTTCAAAAGTTACTGCTCCAGGACAATTTGTCACAAAAACGGAAATTTGAAACCCTGTGTCCAGAACAGAATCTTATTTTCTTGTTGAACCATATGAGGCTGTTAAACTGGTGGTTGGAGTTAGACTACATAAAAATTTGTTGGAGCAGTTTGATTAAGGAACTGGAATATACCATTGGCATCACGTTCTCCATTCAGCCATCTGTTTTATCTATTAAACATTCTTGCAGCTGCTGTGAAGTATTAGAAAATGGTGCAACTCATCTGTCTTTATCATTGCAGCATTTATTGGACAGTCTATATGACACATCAAGTGATGTGTCTTTGTTGCTGAGAACAATTGAAGATTCACATTCAAGTACTTGCAAGGATGTCCGAGCTGAAGCAAACAAAATGTCCTTGTTCATTGAAAAGTTCATCCCTGATCTTCTGAAAGCTAAGGTTAGCTGTTACTTTTTGGGTCAAGCCATTTCTTGCATCTGGTTGCTGTCTATACTCTTACTCCATCATGAAAAGTTGGTCCATTCAGAAAGGGGGAAAAAAGAAAAAGAAACAATCCATTCCATATTTGTTGACAAGTGGCTTCTGTCTGACAGGAAATGTTGGATCAATACTTCTTGGGTTCTAAGGGATTTGTGACCACACATCCTTCATGTGAGCGTCCTTACATTGTTCCAAAGCAAATGGAGGAACTAGTGGTCCAGAACTTCTGTATCATACGGCAAATGGGTGAAGGCCTTGAGATGCTCTTGCAGCCAGCCTCTGAGAGCCAATTTGTGAGGGAATCTCTCCTGACCTATATCAGAGATCTTATAGACGAGGTACATCCATAGAGTCTATGAATTAATGAAATGCTTTTCTATTTTAAATTTTATATTGGAATTGGCATCCAAGTTCCTGAACATAAGTTCCTGAACATAATACCAGGGAGGATAACAGTACCAGATTTTAAATCGCTACCTCTGTCTCAGGGGTAATATTTAGATACATCACTGGGTGTATTGAATTCCATGACCTGTAATGAATTATGGACATCAGCGTACACTTAATTGTAAAGTAAGGATAATCAGGCAGTGGCAGCATAATGCATATGATAAGAGTAAAAATCACTACGTAATATGCAGTATACGCCACATAGAGAGGTTAATCTATGATAGATACATACATATATGACTTGAGCTTGTTGCTGTTACCAGAATATGATGACCTACTAGAATGTAAAAACTAATTGCGAGGAACTGTGAGTTCTGTTGATTGCCTTGGGCGAAGAGTTAACGGTAATACTAGATGCAGAAGAACATAATGAAAAAAACAAAAATAACGGATTTTGGAATTTTTGCAGGGTAATAAAATTGAAGAAGAATTTAATGCCAAGCAGGAGCCAGAAATCCAGTTGGGGAGTGTCCATGAATTGGATACTGTATTTACGGAAACTTTTGCCAAAAAGGATAACTCATTCATGGATGCCTATGTGAGAACTGCCCATGAGGTTGCAGATGTTCTTGTAAATTATGATTTTCAACCAAATGGGGGTCATACTGTATCTGAAGGTCCTGTTAGTGGAAATTTTGCAATGTGGAGAAGTCTCTTTGAACAACACAAGGAGAATCTGAAATTAGACGTTATAAAGGTTGGGCTTGAAGAAACTATTGTTGCTGCGGTATGCTTTCATTCCTGCTCCTCTTCCGCCTTTTATATGGATAAGATTTCTCTTTTTCATTGCTGCTTGTCCAAAACAAAAATGGAGAGATTCTTCACAGAATCGGAATTTGGAGAAATAATAACAGGCTTTTCTATTGATCAGCCCTTCAGTCGGAGCCTTGTTGGAGCTGCTTTGCTTTATTCGTTAAGTATTGCATTGCTTTTAATTTTTGGAATAATCCCTTGCTATCTGGTTGTGCTTTGTAGGTTGGCCTTGTTGATTATGCAGGGCAGAAACTACCTGATATATGCACAAGAGTGGGAGTATATTTAGACCATCTTTATGTCTTATTAGACATGGTTTTGATCAGTGGTGAGGCAGTTCTTTTTGACTACCTAGTCATGCATAAGAAAGTAAGTACTTACTCCAACATTAAGATTTATTCCATGTTATATGTATATTCTTTCTGATGGCTCTGGACTGGTCTTTTATGCTTCTTTAGGTGACAGAAATGACTCACTTGCTGGCGAATGGCTTCTTGTTGCTGAATACCGAGGGTTTTGGAGTGGCTGAAGAGAGCCAGAAAGATGATAATAGTGGTGATAAGAGTCAAGATGCAAGTGGAACAGGTATGGGAGAGGGAGAAGGTCAGAAGGATGTGAGCAATCAAATAGAGGATGAAGATCAGCTTCTTGGGACTTCAGAGAAGGTATGATCCTCTGACCAGCTTTTCAAACTTAGATTGAAAGGTTGTTTGGGTAACTGAAATCAAAATTTTGGTATGTCATTATGAATTTCAGTTGTATTTTTGTTATAAGAGGATTCACTGAATTACTCTATATGGTATAGATAACAATCATGCAGCTAAGGAAATTGGCCAAAGCTCTCCTAAATGCCTCTATTCTACATCATTTATGGGAATTTTTAGTGGCCTTTTCGTAATTATTGCATGCAAAATAAATAAAGCCCTCATACATTTGAAGCAAAAAGATACAAATAATCAATTAAAAAAAAGAAAAAAAGATGCATTGTGGTATTTGTTTTCTAGAAGGTCCTAATCTCTTGGGATAGCTATTGGGGTTTGTGGCCTTTAAATCTTGTGAGAGCATGTAAAAATAATAAATAGAGTGAAATGTGCACTTCAGTGGGAATGTATGTTGGTTGTATGGCCTAGGGTTGGGCAGTCTATGGCTTAGGTCAATGTCTAAACCCTTGTCGCCCGGCATAGGCACTACCATTGAGGGTTTCATGGAGGGTCATCCTTTATTGAGATCTTAGAGATGCCCAAGGATGACGGATGTAGGTCATGAGAGCTATGTGGTTTCCTGTGTGCGGTTGTGGACTTGTTAAAGCAAGAATAAATCCTCAACAAACTTCTGCACGGCATGTATATATGATAGTCGTATTATGGGAAGCAACTTTATGGAGGGATACATCTACATGTGCATGGAGGGAGTCCCCTTGCACTATAGTGATATGTGTATGTGACTTATTCTTGGGGAGGAACCTGTAATCCGCATATGCTAGGACTGTTGTTCCATTATTTATTGGCCAGCTTTGATGGGCCAAATCATGAGCCAGTCGCATAGTTGTGGGTAGGGGTGGCAATGGCCGGGGACCCAGCCCAGCCCTAAAAAATTAGGGCTTGAGCCAAGGCCAGCTAGGTTCGGCCCAACTCGGCCCTATCGTTCTTTATATCAAGGTTGGGCTAGGGTCATGGTTGGCCCGGTCTAAGCCCAACTCATTGTCAGCCCTAGCTGTGAGTCATGGGTTCAATTGGGTCGATTTGAGAAGATAATAGTGGATCACGATTTCTAGCACAGGTTCTAGCACGGGTGGAGTGCCCTGATAGTCACTTTTCTTGACCTATTGGTACCAATCGACTTCTAGAGGTATGTTTTAGTGTTTTAAAAGGAAAAATTAAGAACTTGAAAAATATTTTCTTTGACTTTATTTGTGGTTTTGTAATTTTAAAATATTTTTCATAGTTTCTATTAATTATTTGATGGTCTAAAACCCTATAAAGAGTAGTTATGACATTTTGGAAATTAGTAGGGGCAAGGTGGGACCCATGTTAGGCAGCCTAGGGGCCACATGGCGAGATGCACCACATAAGTGGGACGTCCCACCAAATCTAAAATATTATTTCTTTTGTTAGAAAAAATCCTGGGGATATCTTGTAAAAAGATTTTGTTGGTTGGAAAATATATATGCCTCTATTTTGTTTTTTCTCTGAATTGTGAATGGGCAGAGCCAGGTGCTCTTATTTTACGACGGTAGGAACGATTGCTTCCATTACTGACCAGAAAGACACCAAATTCTCCTTAGGTACTTTAACTGCGGTATAGGTAGAAGAAGTTGGTATGGAGAAACCTTCTTAGGTACTTTAACTGCGGTATAGGTAGAAGAAGTTGGTATGGAGAAACCTTCTGTATAAGGTTCGAATTGGTGAATTGAGGTGGAGTAGACCGATGATCCTGTAGTATGGATGATTTCAAGTATGGATGACTCTAATTTGTTTCTCTCTCTCTCATCTCATGGATTTGAATCCTAATTTAAGTTGGAATGCCATTAGGGCCTTGAGGCCTATATAAGGGAGGGTCCTCCTTTCATTCTCTTCACCTTGAATTCATACCCCCCCCTCTCACTCTCTCTCGTGGTGGGCACCGCACCACATAGAGCATAGAGAAGGGCCACGCCCAGCCCATCTTGGTTAAAGGGGTGGTGCCACGTAGTAGTATACCCCAAAAGTTTTAAGGGTCGAAAGAAACCCTAAGTCTAGTAGCCCATGCTCTCAGCCTCATAGATCAAATCAGTTAGAGAGTATTCCAGAGATGCTTCCTAGTTCAGTCGAGTGAGCTATTGGTTTGGGAATCGGGTATATGAGGTATGCTAAGTCTTATGGGGGGAACCCCTAGTCAAAGACTCAGTAAGTCTTCGCTGTTGCATTTATTAGTTTATTTTTAGTTCTTGATTCATATTTGTTCAGAAGTTCTAATTGTATTAGGTGGTCCTATTTGGATAAGGATTCCTATAGTGGATTTATTTCTGCATGGTATTGTGGCAATTGTAAGTAAAGTATTTCAGTGGCATTTATTTCAACTAATTTCAGCTAGATTTTGGTCTCTATTTTGGTCAATATTCAGGTTATACAATATAAGCAGCTATATGCTTCCCAGTTTCAGCTGATTATGTGTTGTCTCCTCAAATTAATTGCATTAAAATATCTCTTTCCTGATCCATCTTTTTGCTACTTATGTTTCAGTTTGGCGAAGAAGCAAATACTGCAGATAAACTCCCCAGTAAGAATGATAAAGGAATAGAGATGGAAGAAGATTTTGCTGGTGACACTTTCAGCGTCAGCGAGGACTCAGAAGAGGATGATGATGAAGATTCTGAGGATGTTAACCTGGACAAAGAATTGGGAGAAACTGGTGAAAACAATGAAACTGTAGATGAAAAGCTTTGGAATAATGCAGAAGACGGTGATCCAGATAACCCCATAGAAAAATACGAAACAGGTTCATCTGTTAATGACAAAGCCTCCACTGATAGAGAAATAAGAGCTAAGCACGACACAGATATTGCTGCTGAAGAAAATCCTCGAGGTTTGGAGACTGATGTGCCGGAACAAGAATTGCATGAGAGGGAAGATGAAGCTGCTGCTTCTGGTGACGAAAATGGCACTGAGGATATGAAAATGGACAAAGATGAAGCATTTGCAGATCCTTCTGGGATTCAACCTGAAGAAGAGAATCCTGGATTGGAAGATATGGATTTAAATTCAATGGACCAACTTGAAGATTCGAATGCCATGGAGGAGACAGAGAATGTGGATGATAGGGACGGAGATATTAGTAATAAAGATGAAGATATGGCGGAAGCAGAACCTGAGCAATTCTGTGGCGATGATGAGAGGGATGAGCCAGGTAGTGAACAAACTGAGGATGTTGATAAGGCCAGCTCAGAAGCAGCTAATAAAGACGAAGAGAACCAAAATTCTACTCAGGCATCCCTTGCTTTCTCTTTTACTAGTTTGTCAAATAATGGCCAAGCAACAGAGGACCATCAGGCTAATTATGATGATTTGCAGAGTGGCCAAGCTATGGCGATAGGTTTGCCCAACAATGGTGCCCCAGAGATTGAAGCGCTTGCACCTGACCCAATGTATGGTAGAGAGATGCCGATGTCTGAATCGGTGCCTCCAAACCAATCATCCAATCCTCCATCTTCAATGCAAAATACAAAGCCAAATCCTTATCGTAGTGTTGGGGACGCTATAAAGGAGTGGAAAGAAAGACTTGTAGTATCATCAAACATACCTGATAATAAAGCAGAGGACTTGGATGACTCAAAAGTTGAGGAAGGGGATGAGTATAGGTTTGTTTCTGACACTGAGAGGAGTACCTCTCAGGCTCTGGGTTCTGCAACATCTGATCAGATCAATCAAAGCATTGAAAGGAAAGAGAATAGGGAGAAGGAAAGTTATGATGAGCAGAATAAAGACGTCACCACCATGGAAACCGAAGAGGAAACTTCTGAACCCCACCATCTCAAGAGTTGTATTAATACTCTTAGACCTAGAATGGTTGAGGAATTGCAGGAATCCGCTGCTATAAATGCTGAACCTTTGGAGGATAATGAGTCATCAGGGTTTAAAAATGATGACAGTGGCTTGTCAAAAGACTTGGTCCTGATGCAAAATATGGACTTGAATGATAAATATTCACTGCATGGGGGCTTTGATAAAGAGTTGGGAAAATTGAGGAAAGACGTAGGTGATATGTCCACCGATGGCATTGAAGGCAATGATCCCAACAAGCTTTGGAATGAGTATGAACGGGACACTACAGTTCCATCCCAGGAATTGGCTGAGCAGTTGAGATTGGTCATGGAACCTAATCTAGCTAGTAAATTACAGGGTGATTATAGAAGTGGAAAGCGAATAAACATGAAGAAGGTTCTCTCTCTCTCTCTCTCTCTCTCTCTCTCTCTACTATACTATATATATATATATATATATATATATATATATACACACACACACACTACTATACTACTACTTACTTACTTACTTACTTAACGTTAACTTAACTTAACTTAACTTACTTT